TATAGCAACAAACTTTTTGTACTCATCATCAATGTGTTTATGATGTAAATGGTTGCTGCGCCCATATTTCTGGTCCAGTGGTCTTGGAAAGAGCGATGCCGCTGATAACATGACTTGTTTGTTTACCAATTTATTTATTCATGCGGAACTATCAGATGAAACGAATGTAAACATATAGTTCATTAATTATTAACTTGTCAATTCTTGCATAGGAATTCATGCTTCAGCGTCTAGGAGAAATTACTCCATCCATATCAAGATTGTGGGTCACTAGGTACGATGTTATGAAGCAAAAAAAAAATAATGACAAACAGAATATTACCTAAACACAGTAGTAAATGTTCAGTGTTGTAATAGGTATGCTAAGAATCAAATTCTTCATGGTGCATTAAAGAATTTAAGCTCTGAAACGAATAATGCTTTGTGGACCTTGAACTTATGGCCAAGGTCAATGTTTCTGTTAGATGAATGACCACGTATCAGAAATACAGGATGTTAACAAAGTACCTGGTTAAACTTCAAGGACTGGTTCCCTCAGTGATTCGAAGAAAAAAGTGTAGTACAAACATGGGTCCAGTAATGCTTTGTATTCAAATCTGTACTTTGACGAACAAAAAGCGTCCTAGCGCTCATACAGTTTCGATGGATGGCCGAGTTCTACCAAACAGCCATTCATTTCGGCTGGTCGGAGTTCAGATCACCGAGGACCTGATCTGGCACGAACACATCTCTTCAATAGCTGCAGCTGCTGGGAAAAAGCTAGGCTATTTGTTTAGGGCTAAGAAGTACTTTTCTCCGCATGACCTTCTCACTCTATACAAGGCCCAGATAAGGCCTAGCCTCGAGTATTGCTCACACGTTTGGGGTGCTGCCGCCCCGACTACAATGTCCATGCTCGATGCTGTCCAGAGGAGGGCGGTCCGACTGATCAATGACTCTTCTCTAACAGACGGTCTCGGGACTCTTTCGCGCCGGCGGGTCGTCGGCGATCTGGCTCTTTTCTATCGCTACACCAACGGGCTTTGCTCCTCAGAGCTCTCTTCCATGATGCCGCCGCGCGATGTGACTGCCAGACAGACCCGCCTGACTTCGGCGTCCCATCCTAACCGTGTCAAACTTCGTACATCCAGAACTGGCCGATACGACCGCTCCTTTGTCCCGAGGGTGTCTAGATTGTGGAACAATCTACGGGAGGAAGCTTTTCCCAGTTCTACTAACCTTAGGCAGTTCAAAAATCGTATTAACAAAATTTCTTTGGGATCATCATAGCAGCCGCGGTGTTCCGGCATTTAGGCTTCTGCCTGCGCGGCTGTTCCGACATAAAAAAAAACAGGCAGGTCTGTCTGTCACCCGGTACAAGTAGGTGGTTAGACAAAAAAATCACATTCAGAAGCAATTTAGGCCAAACAGCCTCTAAAGTGACAAACAAAAAAAGAACATTGTACACTAAAAAGTGAAATCAAGACCTGTAATCCATGTTAAACCAGAATGCCAATGTGCCCAATTAGGTTGTATTCAACCTGACAATCACACGCAGGCATTAAACAATGGTTCAAGTAGGAGTGTCTACAACCGGCAGTTTGCGGCTTCGCGCTGATATCGCCAGCAGGCTGCCTTTTAAATTCACCGGAACCCACATTATACATTTGTAGGTTACCACAGAATCATAATAAAGTGAAAGTACGGCAACTCCTATGCGAAATTCTTCAACAAACAAAAAACGAATATGAATGGCATTATGTATGTAGATATGTAGATGTATCCGCATTGTAGACTGGAGCAGATTAGTGCTGCGATGAAACTACTTTTAGAGTATACAGAGCGTTTCAAAAGTTGATAATGTGATGTGATTTGATATGTGTGTTTTAAAATTAACGAAATTTTCATATAAGGTTTCCTAATTGGTCTGTTACGACTTTTTCTTTGGCAGATTGTAGTTGCTTGGATTTCACATACTAGAAAGTTCTCTACTACTTACTCTTTAACTACTCCAACAATATACGGATCTGGTATACTTGCTAATATTTATTATGCATAGCGGTATATACATTGTACATAGCATTATACAGGGTGTTCATTTGAGAACTTCCCACCACGGATTTATCGAAAACCACTGATTAAAAAAAACGTCGAGACACGTCAAAAGATTTGTCAAGGGGGACGTTCCGTTAAAAAATTTAAATGACAAGGTGTATCGAGTAATAGCTTGTTTGAAAGGTCTTTCGAAGTCCTTTATTTTGACGTTTGATTTTTTAAAATCAGTCAATTCGTTTTTGAGAAAATTAGAAAAATCCTTAATTTGTAATTTGTTGTAAACAAAAACACACACAAAAATCACTTTTTATTTCAATAAGTGTTCAAAATGTTACCCGTTAGTATTTGCCAAATCTACGATTCGTTTTTATTTTAAATCGGAAGCTACCAACATAAACAGCAAAACGGGAAGAGATTAGACGACAACAACAACTAAATAACAACCCGAATTTTTTCCGAACAACACATATCCTGGGCGAACTGTGTTTATTGTTATACCTGTTTAGATATTTGTTGCTAAGGGGAAGAAAGAATTTAATTTGCTGTCACTTATCTTTGTGACAATCTTGGGACAGTCAAAATTAATTTATTGATTCAAATGTTACTTCCAAAGTGGTTTACACACTATCCGAAAGAGTGGAAATGATTCTAATTTTAGGAACCACAGTGATTGGGCCATTGTTTATTAATGGGAATTTTGAATGAAGACATTTATTTGGATATGTTGGAAAATACCATCAGTCTGCTTATCACTGAAACCATTGAAATAGATAATTATTTTACCCTATGCTTGACATATTATTGTTTTTCTAATTAGCATCCCTAATAAAATAATTAGCACCTATTGTTTATGGTACATCAGTACTTAACAGTAATGGTAACCCCAGACTATACAAGCCTATTTAAGAAACATGTGTGTCAAGTAGGTTGAGTCCGCACTTCCTATGCAACGCTGTCAACAGTTCATAAAAGATTTTATCCTCGATACATACGAGTCGCAAACTCGCCAACGAAATATTTTCTGGAGTTTCTAAAATATCAGTTTGAATATTTTTTTTTCGTTTTGCCTGTAGCTCCGTCGCTGCTGGATCGCGTTTCGTAACTCACAAAGCTTCTTTTTCACAATTTCGTCAAAATCCTAGCGGCACTTTACGTACAAAGGGGCCAAGGTTTGACGGTCAGGCCGACAGAACGGCAACGCCAAGACTGGCAGAGAGACACGATGTCCTTTAACCGTCCCCATAAATAAAAATCAATACAAGTGAAGTCTGGTGATCGCGAAGGCCATGGAAACACAATTCCTTAAAATCCACCCCTGGTGAAATACTGCACACTAATAGCATTCAGTAAGCACAAAAATTGGTCAAAGGAATGCGAAACTATTGACAACTATTCACAATTTGAGGATTATTTATGTCTTGACAAGGTATTTGTTTTGTTATATTCCATGGCCTACTTCTATTAATTGTCTTTTTAGTATATAAGATAAATAATGCGAAACAGGTTTATACTTTTTTTTTTTATTCGGACTGGTCAGTACAAGATGCCAAAATGAAATCTCTGTTATAATTCTTTAAATCAGAATAAGACAAAGAACATTTATGATGATAAGAAGAAATTAAATGTTGAGAGCAATGTAGATACAGAGATGTGCTTAATTAAGTAAACAAAAGATAAGGCAGCCCCATCCGGTGGGATGGTGTTAGCCGAATCGAGATGGACGATGTTAACCATAAGACAATACCATCCATCAGGATCCCATAACTTGTAGCCATCGTGAACATACATTTCTTGTAATATTTTCAAGAAGGGTGATTTTATTCTGACGCATAAAAAACAATTCCAGAAAAATTAGTTTGCCCGAATAATCGAACGTTGGATGTCAAACGACAATCTCTGTTCATGCGGTTGATTGCGTGTTTATTCCACTAATGGTACTGGAAATTACCGATTTGCAAGAATTATTGTTCTCCTGACCCCAAAAGATTCTACTCGTTATACTTGTAAGCTTCAACAGTTTTTCTCAAATCGTATACCTAGGGTTGATGACTCATGATCTGTTAAGGGTGTTTTTGAGGACCACATCATTTGACAAAGCCAATTTAGGTTTGGCGTTCATCGAATGTAACCATGCCAGGTTCTTCGTTTGCGATTACTTGAAGGAAGGTGTTTATAACCAGTAAGCCCTGAAACGTTGCCCAGTTGGAAGATACTATCCGTAATGAAATCACAGTTATAATGCCAGAAATCTAGTGAAAAGTTATAGAAGACGCCATAGAAGAGCAAGAGTGTATGCGGGTAGCAAAAAAGTGCATCAAAAAAGGTTGAAAATAAATTCAATTCACGTAGATCTTCATTGGCTTGTTGGGCACAGAATTGTCACTACTATACAATCCTTTGTCCATTATTGAATGTCACTAATAATAATTCTGGTTGCTACTAGTGAACACGAGCCCCTTCCCACTTCAGTTGGCCCAACTATTGAAATCTTATTTTTTTTCTTATCAAACACAAATAATAAACATGTAGCAGGGTGTTATAGGTTTAAAATATTAACAATATATATTTTGATAATATATAGTAGAAAACACCGACTTTATCACTCCCTAATCAAATTTGCAGCATAAAAATAACTCATGTTGCAATTACAGCATATCAACCTATTTTCATTTCAATGCAAAATAAGTCTATAACGCATAGGTAGCTGTGAAAAGCCATGACATCGCTTAGGTAGTTTGAAAATTGATTCAGTGGAGACGGAACACATATTTACCCTACATCTGCCATGGAAACTAAAATAGACAGATTTATGTAGTTTGGTATGATTCCGTCTTTTGAAACGACTTGACCCACCCGTTTTCTTTGAAATTTCCAACGAAGGTTTGGGAAGTAAAGAGTTAGTCTACTTGACGCCAGTTTTTTCATTGGTATAAACTATATATGGTAACTGTTTCTGTTGTTTCCAGAAAGGAAGTGGCGGTGAGACCCCGGTACCAGATTCAGCGTCATTGCCGTTGGAACACAGAGCCGTATATGGACCATCATTATCCAGCCCAGGCCTGGGGTTACTCCAAGGAGGGGGTATAGGAGGAGGAGGTGGAGGAGGAGGAGGTGACGATCCCTGGCCCCTCGCCACTCCAGATATGCCGCAGATCAAACACTTGCAGGTTAGCACTAGGTGGTTCGCGAACCACCGGTTGAGAAACCCTACTCTACGGCACTTAAACTACAAACTGGCTATTCTAGAATCACACCAAAAATCTCTCGTATAAGTATAGAATAGAAAAAATCATGCCACAAGTTTCTGTAAAAAAAGTTCTATGGGGCTTCCCTACGGAGAATCACGCCCCTAAATTACGCTACCGGAAATCAGTTTTTCTCAAATAACTTATGAACAACATAACACTAACTAGTAGTCAATCGTTTTTTACACTGTACTCACTCCTCAGAAACTCTTGCACTCAAATCTAAAACTGAAGTGATCAGGAAATTTATATCCTGGCCGCTGATTATGAATCTGGTAGCCGAATTACAATATTTTGGAAGCAGGAAGTTAATATTTTGCCGGATTTAAATCCCATCGAACATCTGTGGGACATGATGGGGAGACACTGCACCATCCGCCAGAGACTGCCACAGGAAGTTGCTTGGAATGAGATGCCACAACCAGACATCAATCATCTCATTTTATCGATGCCTAGACGTATACAGGAGTGTATTCAGCTGCGGGGTCACCCAACACATTATTGATTTTTTTCTTATTACCGGTCAATGAAATTTCATGAGAATTGTTTCATTCTTGATGTAAGACTACCTCAATGCCAAAAAATCAAGTTGAGGAAATTATTTTTTCTGGGTGCAACACTTCTAATGTCACTGAGTATATTTTCAACTTGCTTGTCAAAAATGTCATCGCTGGGTGTTAATTATGGTCACTATCATGTAAGGCCCCAACTCGTTATTAACCTGCATTATTTTCGTTGGATTCTACAATGTCAAAAGTTATTTGAAAATAACCAGTAGCCAGTAGCGCCCTTTAGGAGCTCCGCAGAACATTTTTATGGGAACTTGTGGCATTATTTTTCTGTATTCTACGTATGTAATATTTTGCAGAGAGTACAAGAGACAATGCTCGAAATGGGCGCTTTTCTATCCCCTCTGGGAACGAACACAACCCCATGACAACTATTTTCTAGGAGAAAATCTAGTGTGCCATCCATAAACTAGAAATTCTGATTCGAAGTTAATAATTATAATTATAATTGATATTGGATATACACATAACTGCCCCAAATAAGGATAGAAAAGGTGTAAGAAAATACGATTCTACGTTTTTCAAGGATATGAGTAATCTTGGCGAAAAATGCTTCTTCAGTGAAAATTGTCTGTACAGCTCAGTAATCGAACAACCTCCATAATTTTGAGATTTTAGAAATGTATCCTAATATAAATATGGACAATGCGGCATAATCCTGAGCAGTGCCAGAATACCGCGGCTGCTATGATGATCCCAACGAAATTTTGTTAATACGATTTTTGAACTGTCTAAGGTTAGTAGAACTGGGAAAAGCTTCCTCTTGTAGATTGTTCCACAAAGGAGCGGTCTTATCGGCCAGTTTGGGATGTACGAAGTTCGACACGGTTAGGATGGGACGCCAAAGTCAGGCGGGTCTGTCTGGCAGGCGCGTCGCGCGGCGGCATCATGGAAGAGAGCTCTGAGGAGCAAAGCCCGTTGGTATAGCTAGATCGCCGACGACCCGCCGGTACGAAAGAGTCACGAGACTGTCTGTTAGAGAAGAGTCATCGATCAATAGGACCGCCCTCCTCTGGACAGCATCGAGCATGGATAATGTAGTCAGGGCGGCAGCACCCCAAACGTGTGATCGATACTTGAGGCTAGGCCGTATCTGGGCCTTGTATAGAATGAGAAGGTCGTGTGGAGAAAAGTACTTCTTAGCCCTAAACAAATAACCTAGCTTTTTCCCTGCAGCTGCAGCTATTGACGAGATGTGTCCGTGCCAGATCAGGTCCACGGTGACCTGGACTCCGACCAGCCGAAATGAATGGCTCTTAGGCAGAACTCGGCATTCCATCGAAACCGGATGAGCGCTAGGACGCTTTTGGATCGTCAAAGTACAGTACTGTGTTTTGGAAGCATTGAACTGTACAAGATTGTTGCGTTCTCAACCAGGTCAGAGAGGAATTCGTCGCTAGTCTTCTTTTTTCCAGCTCAGCGGCAGAGATCGGCTTGTCACTCTGAATTCCTGCATGTAGAGTGCTGTCAACAGCAAATCTGTGTATTGGGTTGATCCTGCAGGAAATGAGGTCGTTAATATGTAAGAGAAACAGTGTCGGAGCCAAGACCGATCCCCTGGGAACACCCGCGTTGACGTTGTGGGATGAAGAGGAGAACCCGTCAATTACGACGGATAACTTGCGGCCAGAGATAAAGTCCGCCACTCATCCGCAAAGCTAGGAAATCCCCTGTGGATCGTTGGTGGCGGAAACCATACTGCCTGTCGCTCGTTAGTTTGGTGGATTTGCATTGGAATTGAGACAACTAAGGTCAAACTCAACAAAATCCAGCGTTGTATCAGTATTACAAGCGTAGTGCGGACAACACCATTAAGTGCAATCGAAGCTCTGATGGATCTCCCACCATTGAATCTTTTTATCCACGGAGAGGCAAAAGTCAGATTTTAGAAATGGATCCCCATATGGGCGGTGCAAAATACTCCTGAACAGTTTTTTCAAAAGTTTCTCCTTGGGAGCAATATTTCATCCATGCAAGTTTGGACCAATCTGTACAAGTTGGGAAAATGGATAGTAAGAACGATTATATGTCTTATACAGAACCCACAGTATGCCGGTGCTCATGGACACTTCGCGTTTTGACATGTTAAACTTTTAAAATAAAAAGCAGAAAGTCATCGCCTATGAGGTTCCTGTGGGATCATTTACTCATCAACCTTGTTAATTTTGTTACAAACATCAAAATTTTTTGTGATTTGCTTCCCAGGTGCAGTGTGAAAAGACCCACATGAGGGTGAACATAGAATTCGACCGACCGTTCTATGGAATGATCTTTTCCAAAGGCTTCTACAGTGATCCGCACTGCGTACATCTGAAACCTGGCACTGGACACTTGAGCGCTACTTTTGAAATATTCCTGAACAGTTGTGGAATGTCGTCTTCGGCCAATCACAATGCAGCCAGTTATGGTGGACCTACGCCTAGTGGTAAGTTTCAAAGTTTCAATTCTACTATAAATCTACTAAACGTAGGACACGGCATGAAAAAAATATTTATTGTTTTCATAGAAAAAAATTGATTCAAGCCAAAATCTCATGGCGACAATTCAGAGTTACAAAGTGGATGATCTAACATTTGGATTACAGATTCTTCAAAAAACTGCCATCTGGGCGTCATGCTCAACGGCGGACCCAGGATTTGTGTCTGGGGCGGGGGGTCACACTGGTCAAAAAAACTTCATGTTCAGGAAGATGTTCTTCTCGTCTTTCGGGGGGGGGGGGAGGGGGTAAGGTAGGGGAACATGAGTGCCTCTGATATAAAAAAATAAAACTTGACTGGCGGACGGATGGCAGATGACAACCCTACCCTTGTACCCTTAGGGTCCATCCTAAAAGTGATTAAAATATTAAATCTAAATTAGAAATGAACAATTTATTGTTAAATAACAAAACTAATTATTCTTTTTTGTCTTCCTGCGAATCGATTAGTATTAATCTCCTTTGAATCAGTGCAACAACTTTTTTGTGGTTTTGTCCGTCACAGTGGCGGATTTAAGTAATGGCAAAATGGACATTGCCGCCTGGGCCCACCAAGAAAGGGTGGTCACAGGGCACCCCAAAAATATCAGCTGTAGTGTCTATAGTGTTCAGCGCGTCTGAATGTAAAATTGATAACAAGAAATCAAAGTGACCATCTGCGTAATGTTTATGAAACAGCGCGTTAGCATTCAGTTTGAATAAGAAAATTTCCCTTTCATTTCTTAAGAAATTTTTGGAAAAATTACTATTTGATTTCTAAAAAAAATACCGAATGACCCTTTTATTTTTCAAGGAGTGGAGGGGTTATTTTTTCATTTTGTGCTTACAGTGATATGTCATTACCTGGCATATAATGTTCAGTAAATAAATATCTTCGTTGTATGAATCAGCCTCTTTCAGTCTAATAACGACTCTAATGCATCTATTACAGTCTTAATAATATATATACTTTCACAATACTGTGCATTTTGTTTCTTGGTGATAATATCGTGGAAGAAATTTTTTTAATGTATCATCAATTTTATTGATGATGAAATTTCAAGAGTGGGAGCTTCTGGCGAAGATATGATGAATACCAGATCTCTCCTTTCCTCCATGAACTCCACGTTTTTCTTCAATTTGTTATGGTGCCATTCAGTATTGAGCATAATGAATACTGTGCAAGTTCAAAAAAATTAAAAGATTTGAGGAGCGAGAGCACATACGATAATTTTGTTCTGAAGGCTAAGAATAAATCCTGGTTTTTCCATTGTCCGAAAGAGGAAAATCAAAAAAATGTTCGACGAAAAAGCTGCTGACTCGCCACTGGAAACACACGGAAAACATCGAATAAATTACTACGAAGTTTTGGATTCAATGAGTAACGAATTGCAAGAACGAACTGAAGGATTTCGTGAAGTGAATGATGTGTTTGGTTTTTTGATGGCAGAGAAATTAGTCAACCTAAAAGAAAACTAATTAGAAACCAGCGTCAATAATTTGATGGAAAAATATTCGGAACTTTTCACTACAGATCTAAAATATGAATTAGCCAGCTTTACGAGCATGTATTTTTCAGAAAATCGTAATTTGACTAGTGACAGCACGCAAGATTATTTGAAGTTCATGATTGCAAACATTTTGTAGACAGTTTTCCAGAGAGCTGCAGTTTATTCAGATTGTTTTTGACTTTGCCTATCGGTTCAGCTAGCGCTGAACGTGTCATGAGCTGTTTGAAAAATATTAAACAATACCGTCGAGCTTCTTTAGCTAAGAACGCACTCAACAATCAGCCAGCAAAATCTGTAGTTCGAACTTTATCTGAACAAACTAGATGGATTTTACGTTATCGAAAACTTTTAGATCTGCGTGAACATTGAAACAGTTGAATTAACTGTTTTATTGGCGCGTTAAAGCAGCATCAGATTAACTTTTTGCATCAAATTACTATTAAAAAACCTTTTGCACTATTCATGAGCTTGTTTCGGTTACTTGTGCAGGTCTTTCTAATTTTTTTATTCTCAGTTGCCGCCATTAATTTGCAAATAGCGATAAATGTGGAATATCACTTTTGCAAATAGTGCCCAGTATATCATGTAGTAATGCACGTTATTTAACGTATTTTAGTGTTGTTCACCAAGTTTGTATTCAATGAAATATTAATCACGGCAAAAAAAACTATCGATCATATTTCTTTTTTTTTCTCTTAATTATAATTTTATGCAAATGCCGACAGACAGACAGATCGACAGACAGACAGACCGACAGACAGACAGACAACCCAGAATGGGATACAGTTCCAACAGTCAGCTTGATTTTTTCACTTTCGCAGTGGACGGTTCTGATAATTCACTTTACGCTGTCTTATTTCGATCAACCTTGATGTTGGCTTTAATTCTGTTGCAGGTAGTTACGTCGAGAATACAATAATTATCCAGTATGATCCATACGTCCAAGAAGTATGGGATCAAGCAAGGAAGCTAAGGTGCACTTGGTACGACTTCTACGAGAAGGCAGTAACGTTTAGGCCTTTCCAAGTGGACATGCTTCACGCTGTTACAGCAAACTTCTTGGGAGACAACCTGCAGTGCTGGATGCAAATACAAGTAGGCAAGGGACCATGGGCTTCCGAGGTAGGTTAATTGACTTCATTTTATGTTTTAACCTTCACTAACCTACAAACAATGACCAAAATTACAAATTGTCCACTGTCCGTCTTTGATTAGCGATTTCTGGGGAGAGCTGGACGTCCATTTTTTTTTAAACGAGAATGCCTGAGCTATGCTGATTACGCAAAATAATCAGATGGCAAGATGCAATCTTAAAATTCGGAATGATCACTTCGCAAAATGTCAGCATGCTACGAGAGTTTCATTTCAGACTATTGTAGTAACACACTGTATATGAAAAGAAAAAACAAACGTACTGTCACCTGTAAGACAGATAAATAAAATACATATATGGTCATTGTATTGTGATTGAAACGTTTCCCGTTAAGAAGATTCTGTCAATACATGTGATGTTATAAGCTAGACAAGCATGGGGGATTATCGACTTGTAAACCACAGGATAAACTCAGATGCTACGTAAGCAATATGGGTACGGTGATTATTTTGTTGGAATATGGTTCTGAAACGTTGGGAGAAATGGTGAAATAGAGAGGAGAGGAGAAATAGTCAAAAGGCATTACGGAGTAAGTCGTAATGTGAAGTTTCCAGTTGAACGCCATGTGCAACATACTATAACAGTTATGGCTGGAGATAAAAGGTACGATGACGAAACGTTTTGTCCTTTTTCCAAATTTTTGAAAACCCTAGACAATGGACTTCAAAAACGCTCTAGATTTATGATGAGAAGAAAAATGACCCCTTTACCTCATCCGTCACAAAGCTTTTCGGAACAATGTACTACCGTCAGATGAGAAAACATCAACAAGACATAAACCACCTTATGACCCGATGACTGGCTGAATATGTATGGCATTGTGCCCCAGCGCATTATTAGAAATATCCAGAAATACAGCGAATTCGTTAGCTTATAATCTTAGTTACTACTACTGCTACTTGGGTGTCTTCATTTGTGTTTCAGCGTTCCTGATATTTTTGGATGTATTTGACCCAATTTTTTGTTTGTTTCAGGTTTCTGGCATAGTGAAGATTGGTCAAACTATGACGATGGTATTGGCAATCAAAGATGACGAGAACAAATTCGACATGCTAGTACGAAACTGTGTGGCCCATGATGGCAAACGGGCACCAATCCAACTTGTTGACCAGTATGGATGCGTAGTTAGGCCGAAAATTATGAGCAAATTCCAGAAGATCAAGAACTTTGGACCATCGGCTTCTGTGGTCTCATTCGCTTACTTCCAGGCCTTCAAATTCCCTGATTCTATGAATGTGCACTTCCAGTGCGTCATACAAGTCTGCAGGTGGGTAACATTTTGAGTAGAAGGCGCTCCGAAAGTTAGGACATGTTATAAATACTATTCGAAGTTGTCGCTGTTCCATTCAAAACGGTAGTCTAAGCCTTCCAATGTGTCCATCTCGTACTTTTTTTCCAAAGCGCCTGTGTTCTTAGTACTTTGTACAGAATAAACAAAACTACACTGCGCCGGGTGGAAACATACAGGAACAACTATTATAATATACTAGAGAAGAATCAGCAGAATCTTGAAGACACCGTAAGTCGTCTATGGGCAAAATCGTTATCATAGGAATGTTCCATTTTCGACTGTTTCAAACCTAACTTATAAACAATCAGCTCTATTTTTTGCACGGTGCGCTGCGCCAATGTTCTATTCTGACATACGCCGTATCTTTTCACATAATGCTGCCAGGGTCGGATTTGTGTACCGCTCGTCAAGTGTAGGAAGAGATATGAGGAGTTGCTAGGATTGCGCACACGAGAGAGGGAGAACGCATTCGGAGCATCAGAGATGGCACGTACAATACGTGTCATTCGATCTCGAGTGGTACAGTCTGCATCCTAAAATAATAGAATAATTTCAATAATGGAATACGTATTATTTGAAGCCTGTTTTTTAATCGAAATTGTTGGCATGTGTCAAAAGGAAACCAAAACAATTTACTCAATAAAGTAAGTATTGCACGCTATGTAGCTAGAAGACTGAAATTGATTGGTACTCATTCTATTTTTAATTGTTAATAATTTCAATTAATAAACAATCAAATGAAAAATAAGGTCAGAAAACTAACACCGTAGTAGATACAGTTAGCAATATATTAAAGATTTATGAAGTTCCACAGAGGATCAAATGCTGAAAGTTCGGAATCGGAATCTGAGCTACTACTTAAACTTAAATTTTCGGTTCCGCTATCGCTATCTTCGTCTAGGTTTATTATTATTTGATCCACAACTAAGTCGAGTGTTGATTCTATTTCCATATACTGCTTCTCAAAACCTTTGGCATGCTCACATCTCTTTTTCCATTCTTCTGTGGGATAAGACGAGAAAAAGTCGTCGCAAAGTTTGTCGACAGTCTTGAGATTAAAAGCTACATTTCTCTTAGCCACATATTGTTTGCCCATACCAACTCAATTGGATTTAAGTCGGGGTGATATGGTGGCAATCTCAAAACAGAATGACTTTCTTCAGCCATTATTCTGTCTATTTCATAAGTTAATATGCTGGCTTATGCATTTTGTTAAGGCTATACAAATCAATTTTCAACATGTCGTCAGTAAAATGTATGTTTTTTTTTGCCTTAGCTATTCTTTCTTATGATCCTTCTTAGAGCACATATTAGGACATTTGTCTATCTGAACATTGTGGTACGGAGCATTGTCTATAACCAAAACACTATTTGGTGGTAAGTTGGGAAGCAGTTTATTCTGAAGCCATTTTTTATAGTTACTATAGTTCATCTCACTATGATAATCACCCGACTTACTATTTCATTTGAATTTCAGATATGTATTTTCCACGAAACCATTTTCACTAACAGCATGCACAATAATGAATCTTTGTCCTTTTGAAACTGGCCTATGAAGACCGTCATTGGTATTATCGCATCAACTATTTTCAGGCGTATGTGATGTATGGTTGTATGTTTCGTCCATATAAAATATAGGACGATTTTTTTCTCTCTATCGTTTCATCCTTCTCAGAAAATTTCTCCTGAGATGCAGAATCTCTGGTTTTTCCATAAGAAGTCTTCTATTAGTTCTTGCTTTCCTCCAACGAAATCCTATTGTCCTCATCACTTTCCTTAAAGTTTAAATTTCCTGTGTGTGCCGCAAAGTTGGAACCTTCTTTTCCGTTATGTAAAAATTCATTATAGATCGACGAAGCAATCCTCTATCAAAGTCGTCGAAATCAGATTTTGGAGTGGCTCTTTGTCTTTTTGTTTGGTGTCGAAAAAGATATCGAAGCACCTTCTTCAACAGATTTCATTTCGCGAGAAATCCTCCTAATAGTCGATAGACTATCTCCCGTGGCCATGGCTGCACGCTCCTTAACTTTCTTCAAATCTTTTAGACCTTTATTTCCTTCTGCTTCTCATTGCATAAAGAATATAACATTTACAACCTCCCTAGTTTGTCGTGATGAAACTTCACGTTGTAATTTGGATATATAGGAAAGGGGGAACGCCACACGAGGGAACACGTGTACATGCAACATGCACACATTCTAGCTCCGCCTGCGAGATCCGCCGGGTGGTACCTCCGCGTTCGACAGTCAGAGAACGTCTACCACCTACGGATAATCACAGCATCCATTGCCAAGAGAAAAATTTCTACTGGGACGGGACTCGAACCCGCACAACGCACGGCGACTGATCAGGAGACCGAAGAGTCTACTACTGCGGCCACCGCTGCTGCCTAGACTGTACACTAACTAGTCTAGACACGACAAGATACTACTGCTTCATCCGGCGAATTGACCGCTAGCTACTGCGCACCGAGAAGGCCTGACATAATTCAAAAATTCGCATCTCTTCCTACACTTGACGAGCTATACCGTCAATTATTTTGGAAATTAATATTTGTTATCTTGGAAAGCCTTTGGTATATATCTTACTAAAAATAATTGCTTATTTTTGCAAGAACTATAAGCCGTGTAAAGGAAAGTCATAACTTTAAGAACACCTACTTCGTAATATCTGTGTTCCTTGACGACTTGCAAAGTGTAAGTCGATTTATACTGACGTATACTTAAGAAGGCTAACTTTGCTTTTTTTGGACCATCATCCCAAATACAATTATCTAGAACCATAATGTTCTAGCAGTATCTGTTTCTTGATTGCTTACCAAATTTAGATTTGCACTATAACAAAAGATCTTTAGACGCCTGATAGCTATCTTTGTTTTTTCAGACTATCATCCCAAATACAACTGTCCAAGACTAAAAAGATTTAGTAGTATCTGTTTTTTGCAAAATGTAAATAGATTTGCCTTTAGACGCTGACGTATTCTTTTGAAGACTAAGTTTGCACTATCTTCCCAGATACAACTGTCCAGAACCAAAATGTGGCGGACACTCCTTGGGGCTAGCCAGTGAGTACGGAGCACCAGCCTTAGGGAATGGAGGTGACTTCGGCAACCATATTGAGAGCGTTGCTAGTGAATATGGACCACCTGCAGCACCTTCTGGAGACTACGGCCTTCCACCAGCCTTCCCAGATCCAAGACATCCTTCGGGACCTACTGGTAAGTACATGAAAAGCATGATGCACCAACGAGGAATTTGAAAGGTATCTCAATAGGCACCACCAACAATATAAGAATGTAGAAGTATGGGAGTCATAAATAATATTCTGCCTTCAGTCAACGAAAGCAGCATTATTAATTTGAGAGATGTTTTTCTTTAAGTAATTGAAAGGGCATCGGTTTGAGCGAATCTTTATTTCTAGGTGCTTATTCCGAGAATCAGCCTGATGTGGTTCCAGTTCCTCAAGCTCAGACGTCCTCTTCATCTACTTCGAATCCTCCGAATCTATCTTCGCCAGCTCCTCAAGTCTCAGCTCAAACTGGAAACGAGATCAGGTTGCCTCCACCACCTCCTCCAGGACACCAAGGTATCTATAATACCGTCAAGAGGAAAAGCAGTGATGAATTTGAGGGTGAGCTATTGGGAAACAATTTCAAATGAATTTTGACTCGACTTACAGTAGTCAATTTAAATTCATTTTACACTATTGTTGCTACTGTTATCATTGTAATTGCAGCTCCTGATGATGATGGCAAAGTCCATTGAAAGCTAGAGAGAATTAAAAAAGTATAAAGAGTCCTCTTTGCTTAAATTTTGTCGAAGTACCCAACAAAAGGCGGAAGCTTTAATTTTTCACCTAACTGGTCTAGACGACAATCACCACGTCTAAAGTATATATATATATAAAGCTTCCGCCTTATGTTGGGTACTTCGACAAATTTAAGCAAGGAGGACTCTTTATACTTTTTTAATCTCTCTAGCTTTCAATGGTCTTTGCCATCATCATCAGGAGAGTACGAGTGAGGATGTTGCTAAATGTTATTTACGTTAAGGATGAGGGAAACACCCAGTAACCTGGTGAAAGCTGAATACATGGTACAATAGTCAAAATTATACAAACTACACACAGCTGTATGACAAGAACAAGTTAAAAACAGATTAAAAATATTTAAAACGAAAGTTAAACATTACATCGTGAACCACTGGGTGTTTCCCTCATCCGTAACGTAAATAACATTTAGCAACATCCTCACATACTACTCTCCTGATGATGATGGCAAATACCATTGAAAGCTAGCGAGATTAAAAAAATATAGAGTCCTCCTTGCGTAAATTTTGTCGAAGTACCCAACAAAAGGCTTTAATTTTTCACCTGGTCTAGACGACAATGACCACGTTTCAAGTTTATATATATATATATATATATATAAATAATCTGTAACCTTATATACCCATAGGTGTTAGGTATAACAAATTGTTTACACTGTCTTTTCATTGTTCTGAAAGGTTGTGCACCAATTTTGAGTCCTCTGTTCTTTACTGTCAATGCAATTCCACCATGCCACGTCTTTTTTGGTCTCCCTCTGGTTCTTTTCTTCACAATTTTAGCCTCCCATATTCTTTTGACTGGACTAGTTTCTTCCATGCGGATTAGATGCCCAAACCATTTAAACTGGTTTTCCTCAATTTTTTCCAAGACAGATCTAACCCCTAACTCACTTCGTATAATCTCGTTCCTAATTGTGTCTCTCCTAGTCACTCCTTTTACTACTCTCAAGTATTTCATGTCTATTGTTTGTATTTTGCTTCTTTGTCGGTTGTTCAATACCCAGCTTTGGCTTCCAAAAGTCATGATAGGTCTGAAAATGGTTTTATATACCGTCATTTTGGTCTTTCTGCCTATTTCTTTTTTCGATATGAACGACGTTTTTATGCTATGATACAGGTCCGATGCTTTTAGTAATCTTTCTTTTATTTTTTCATCCATCGTTCCGTCTTCCTGTATTTGTATTCCCAAGTATTTGAAAGCCTGCACTTGATCTATATATCTTCCTCCCGAGATTATTTTGAGTTCTTTCCCTTGTCTAGTAGTCAGGACTTTTGTTTTAAAAATGTTAATATTCATATTTCTCTTTAATAGCTCTTCACTCCAGATGTTAGGTTATCTTGTAAATAGTTTGGGTTGCTGGCACATAATAGCAAATCATCCGCAAAGGCACACTCGGCTATACTTACAGTTCTCATCTTCGTAAATTACTAGTTCAAAAAGTTTTGCAAAAGCGAAACGTAAACTAATAGACATGTAATTAATCTTATCTCGTGGATCCCCTTTTTAAGCACTGGAATAATAATTGCAGATTCAAGATTTTCTGGGAATATACCAAACTTCAAACATTTATTAATAATATACATCAAAGGTGTACCAATGATATAAATGTGGGCCTTTAGTAGGCCTGTCCGAGGGATGTCTCTTAAGTTTTGCATATGCAAATAAAACAACACGGTAGGTAGTTTCAAATACCTTTATTGTTTTTCGAAGTATTCTCCACCAAGATTAATACACATCTGCATGCGCTCGAACCAATTTTAGAAGCACTTATTCCACTCGTTTGCTGGCAGATCCAAAACGGCATTTTTGAATGCGTCAACTGCTTCTTCTGGAGACTGGAACCTTTGACGACGCAGTCTGTTTTTAATTTTCGGGAAAGTAAAGAAATCGCTGGGACTTAGATCGGGACTATATGGAGGATGGTCCAATAATTCCACGTTTTCTTCTATTAAATACTGCCTTGTTTTTTGGGCTGTGTGCGAGCTTGCATTGTTTTGGTGGAGGATGATTCTTCTTTTGGGGTTGATTTTTCGAAGCTCGGTGATGACTTTTGGCAAACAAATGGTGGTATACCAATCCGCAGTAACAGTTCTTTGCTCATTAAGAGGAATTGTTGCAATATGACCCGCTTTTGACACAAATGTCGCGACCACCTTTTTCGAAACACTTCGAGAGCGGATGACTTTTGCTGGCTTTTCTTCACCTTGGAACACCCAAACAGCCGACTATCGTTTATTTTCTGGTTCATAACAGTAAATCCACGATTCATCACCACTAACAATGCTGTACACATTTTTTTAGTTTCCGGAATTGAAACGGTCAAGTGTTTTTTGACACCAATTAGCCCTGGCTGCTTTCTGCTCTTCAGTCAACAGGTGGGGTATCCAACGAGAAACTAATTTTCTTACTCCTCATTCTTCATGAAAAATTTTCGAATTGAGGTCTTTGAGATCTTCAAGGACGCCTCAATCTCGCGATATGTCACATGTCTATCTTCAATGATGAGTTTGCGCACAGCATCGACGCTTTCGTGGGTGACTGCCGTTTTTGGTGCACACACCCTGGAATCGTCGCTAAGACTCATCCGTCCACGTTTGAGTTCTCCATACCAACGGGAGATTGTCGACTGATGTGGCGCTTCGTTGCTGAAAACAGACAGTAAACTCAGCAAGGCATTCTTGTTGCGATAATTGTCTCTGAAAGTTGTAATAAATTATGGCGCGAAAATGTTCTCGGTTGAGTGCCATTTTTCTAATGACTTGGTGACACTTGAAAATTCACTGTAGTGAGGAAACTGCACGTATCGTTGTGAAACTTTGAATTTAAGTTTACTAAAGAGTGAGGTTAATATTAAGTATTGACGTTCGATCCGCGCGGCCTACTATGTTTCTATATACAAAACTTAAAAGACATCCCTCGTAGAAACACCTTCTATTTTTTTAATTTCTTACTCAGCTCCAGCAATTCTCCAACTGTTACATATTCAATTGATAATAATTCAGAAGCAAAACCAAATGCCCTAAGCCTTTTCAAACTAGATTTCAAAGTTCATTTGTGAGTGCTGCTACTGTTTCATAGATGGCGCTAGGATCTTCCAGAACCCTTGCTAAGCACCTGAATACGGCATATAATTTGTTATCTTCAGATGGAATACGTTAATTAATGGTACCAGATAGACGCCTTGTACCAACCAAACTAAATGTCTGGACTAAACCTTTTTTTTTCTTTCAGTTCTTGGTGGAAGGCCAAGATCAGTGGAGAACCTGCCAGCAGAACTTCAAGGAGTCCGCAGACGTCGTAGTCTTGCAGACCATGAGCCAATGACAATAGTTGTGAGCCACGTGTACAAACGTGAGGCCCAGGAAATGACAGATGTCAACACAAGCAGGACCATCCAAGTAGTGGCGCCTGGTGACGTCAACTTCGCTCTCAATTCTGCACAGAACAATGAAACTGTCGTCATACAATCAGCTTCATCCCAGGACCCGGAAACCATCTGTATGTCAGTGCCTAGTTTCGTAGCTGGGTTAGTTATGTTGCTGTTGGTAGTGATCGTTGCTAGTTTAGTGGCCGCATTTTTGTTTGTGAGAGTACGAGCGATACACAGAAAAGGTATCGGACAACCTTTCGTAGGATCCAGGGGGTACGATAATGCCGAGTTCGTCAAAGTAGCTAACTGACAGTGATTCTGTAATCATAGGATGCTTTGAAGGATTTCCGTAGACATGCAACGAATAAGTAGAGCAGACCCTCTATGTCAACTATCTTCACTCAGTCAAAATGTCTAACGAGAAAAGTCTATCTACTCGTTACGCCACACCCCATATGACATTCCCTGGATATTTCACAAAATCTGAGTAGTCTTTTGACATCATATGTATAATTTTCCAATCCATTGGAACTACAAGGATTCAAAAATAAGATTAAGTCACTCGTCTCGTCACTAGTTCAGCTAGATAAGTTTGGCGATAGTTCATTGGCTTGATTAATAAGCTTCGCAACCGATATGTATTCGAAGTTTTGGCTATGATCGGAGCTTACATAACGATGCGCTGTTGCCAGATCTGCCAGCTGCGTTACTCCAGGGATGACGTCACAGCATTGGAGTATCTATGACATAACCTAATCTTTATATACTCCTAATTCGTTGCTATACGTGAAATCATCAAGGTATTATATCTCTAATAAAGGACTGATTGACAACGCCCTTTTGTCCCCAAAGATGTTAACAGTGATTGTTTATGTATCACGAAAGTGATAAAAGTAGTCGCGTAGCGACAAATTGTCTACCAGTTTACTGGTCTAAATCACAGATGTGAATTTATTAAGGAGAGGTCAAAAGTCAGAGACCATTTATGTAAGAAGCTATCTTTCTATCGAGGTATTGAGCAAAAAACGTAGCCTATAATATCTGTCTGGTCAAACTGTAACCATAAAGAATCTTGAAATCGTCAGATTTTGAAACTCTGGAGGCAGACTGTCTAGATTTTTTTTTAATAGCAATTGTTATCCTTATGCGGTTCCCTGATTTTATTTGTTCTTAGGTTCAATTCCTTGAAAAAATTAGAAAAAGTAGCCGACCTATCTGTATTTAAGGAACTCAAAAATGGCTTCTACACTGTGTCCTGGTTTGTAATCGAGAAGCCTTGTAGGGTAATGGAATCCGCGAAAATCGAAAAACTAATAGTTTGTACAGGTTCAATCACAAATCAAAGGCACTACGCTACAAACCGAACATTTTGTATATAGCTAAATCAATATCAATTGCTAAAAGGTTGAGATTGTACCAACATTTCAATGGTAAGTCATGTAATCAGTAGTTACTTTCAATATTGCAGCTAAAAATCAACTATTTTTAGATTTAAATACAAGCCAATATGCTTCTAGCATTTTTAATATGGCTGTGTAAATTATTAAGATTTTGTGCATAAATAACAAAACTAAAGAATACAATTTCATTGTAGTTTGCTATTGTTGTATATTAAATCTACTGCACACATATTCTACACTTTTGACGCACATATTATGACATATAGATCTTCGTACAATAACTTCTTTTTCAGATGACAGGCCAGAGCACTGATTTTTTCATCTTTCATATTTCTGTCTTAATTTTATAGGATGCAATTTGCGGCAGTATTTTGGTTTTTATAGGTTTAGAAACGAAACAGTCTGGGAGCCTTACTTATAATTCGATAATAACTGTTTACTAACTACAATTGATTCCAAGATGTAATACAGGGTGTTACAGAATAGTGACAGGAAAACTGAAGAATAGACTCAGCACATTCAAATATAAAGAAAATTCATATGAATGGTTTGTTCCTATAATGTTATCCGTTTTTAATACTCCATCTTAGATTTGGCGGAAGGTGATTGAGATATTGAGATGAATTGTGAACTCAAGCTGGCTCTATTTTAATGTGCATAGCAAAAACTACAAGAGACACTTTTCAAACAGAATAATATGTATTTGGCCTAGTATCTTAGAAACGGGGAATTACCGGAAAAATATATGCTCTTACTGATGATATTCGGTAACACCCTGTATGTCATAGGCAAAGCTAACACTTACTGGAACCTAGGAGTTACTACTCGTAAATTGTTAAGTAACTGGCGTTTCTAGTAGGAATTCAGAATTTTTTTGCCAAACTGAGAAGCCCCATATTTAAATATACAATTATCGTACGAACATATCTATTTCTACAAGACCTATCAGCGGAGAAAAGTAACGTTAAAATCTCGTAACCAATTATTTCTCCATAAAACTTAATTTAATTCAGAATACTTTCACAGTTAAACCAATTAAGATGCAGGATTGTTCATTCACAGCTCATCAACCGCACATATTTGTATGCATTTCGTTTTTCTACTAGGCCCCAATTAACGTTCTTTCCATGTTTCATCACAACCTGTCATGTTTATTCAACAACAAATCTATCTCTTTCGGAACATCTGTCTCACAGAAAACAAACGTTATGACTTATGACCCAAATTCAGTTATTTATTTTGTTGATAAGTATAACACACACATAGCTATATTGCATGCAAGTGTCTTCGTATCAAAGGATAATTTGAATAAGCAGAAAATCCATCCACAAAATAAATTCCACGACTTCTCAAACATAATAAACGCAACATAATATTTTCCCCTTAAAAAACAAATCTATTTGAAAAATATATTTTTATACACCAATCGAAAGAATGCGCGTGTGGCACGCAAGTTAACATTTTCCAACGACCGATCGTAAATAACAGTTTTGCTGCTCTACAGCGACAATGTTGCAAAAGCGCTCGGATCGACGACGATGCGCTTTGACATTTCCAGAATGTCAGATGTCAACTTTCTTGTTACTGTTTTCAATAAATCTACTTATTTCATGAACAATCAAGACAGTAGGGTAAAATTGTGGTTGTGTAATGCTTCATTTTGATGCTTCCTGTGGGTACTTAATACCCGTAGAATATAAAATCACTATCATCCAAAATGACGGACTGGCAAACTGTCAATGTTGAGCGTTTTTATATATCAAATCGGTTGTAGCTCAACAAGGAATTGTTAAAAATTCTCTTGGAAAGGTCTATATACGAATATGTAATAAAATTATGTGAGATATCCCGTTAAAAAGAACTGTCAAAATCTATCAATTTTTTTGAAAGGGATATTGGATATTTTTTCACACTCAAATATACATTTCCAAAAAAAAGATTGTACTGTAACACTTTCAATCCACAAAAACCCTTAAATTTGACTGCCCACCAGTCCACCATTAGCAAATATAGTTTATATTCTGGGGCTATAAAGTATTGATCAGGAGCTTTAAAATGGGGTATCACATGACCACCATCCGCTTAAGAATATATTCCAAGATAGCACCAGCCACCATGACACTTTCATCTGTCACATTTATTTACGTTAAAATATCGTGTCTCATCCCGACTTCCAGCATGCTATCTTGATCCCTTTAAAAATAAATAGAAGATCTTTTTGCAAAGCATTGTTGAATGAGTATGTAGCTTACAAATATTTTGCAATCTGCTTGTTCAAGTCAACCTATGGTATTGTCAAGGTAAGTCTCCACATTTACAAAAAGATCATTTGTGTATTAGATTTTTAGCTGGATATGGCGTACTTTTCCCTAAACACTGTAAATGTGGGATGTTCCCTTGAATGCTGAATGTATTTTAAGAATTAACTAACTAGAACTGAGCTCCATCATGGAGTCATTTTGCTCACTGCTCAATATGAAGAGAATTGAGGGCAGTACCTAGTCTTATAGTAAGTATTTATCAATGTTAATGCGAATTTATTTAATCAAACCTAAAACAAGGTCCAACTTCCTTATCCGTATTTCACTCTGCAAATACACGGAAAATGTTGCTCTTTTGGAAAAATCGACTTATCTATGTTATTGAGTTAATTTTTTTAAAGCAGGATTACACTTATGTGGACCCCCAAAGTTAGAAGGGTTCCTTCACTTCAAATAATTATCTCCTGAATTTTGGACAGCATCGATAAATATCTGCGAAGAAACTCCTGACTCTTAAATACGCCGCTAAAAGCAAAAAAAAATAGTCTAAAAAGTATCTTCACATCTGTTCGGAAAAATATTTTGATTAGTTTTTTTTGGACTTGTCTTTTGAACTCTTCTCTAAAGTTGATAGTTTTAAAAATATAGTAAAAAATAATCGAAAAGTGATATTGAGCAGATGCAAAGATACTCCCTGGACTATCTGCATTCTTTCAGTTTATCACTGTACAGCAATTACGTTTGTCAGGATATGTTACAGATACGGAAGTTAAACCAACAATACTCAAACAAAAAATAGAATCTCGCGTAATTTTGGTCAGTTATCATTTCATGAATGGACACTAACCTATATTTATTTATTTATTTTTCTTAATTTAAGTTTTCGCCTTTTCTCGATTATTCGCAGTATTACCTTTATTTATTTGTATCTTTTAAGCATATTGCGTATTGTCTAACAAGCTGATTGAAATTGCCTTACATTTGTCTTTGAGAGCCTAACTGTATGTTTTTTTCAAATAAACGTATTGAAACTAATGAAGGTGGTCTTTCAATCCCCAACTCCTGCATGAGTATGAATTACAATTTATACAGGGTGTCCCAAAAGTCATGGATCAAACGAGAAAGGGTGATGGATATGTCCTTACACGCTACTTTTGTGATTGTTCTTTTTTTGAACTTATCTTTTGTTATTTCCTAGTAAGGTTTAGAGGATATGTTCTCAAATCATTCATATCTTAGAAAAACCTATCTGTGAAGAGTTAGTAATTTTATCTATTGTGAAGAATATTACAGCTTATCCAATAAGGCCCGTACAAGTGATTAGTGGGCAGATAAAGTGTGCATAGGTTATGAAGAACTTTTAGACATTATGGCCTCCCAAAACTTCCTACATCTTAGATAATCAAATACCGTAAATAATATTTAAGCAAGATAGACTCTAAATCTCTAAAATACTAACTGCGCTTTTCAACCTTCTGCGTTGTGGATAGTCATAAAACGACTAAGAGACAATGAATTCTCAAATTCAAATTATGGTCAGGTCTAGTCAATGTAAGTGAGGCCGGCATTGACATTATTTTAGGTGACAAAAGTGTTATGGAAGCCGTATTACCTAGCCTGATAACGGTCTTTTTTAATCCAAATAGGATAATGAAACATGTATGGGATAATAAACTACCGTCTGAACTAAAAAGGGTCGCAGAGATAATGACTTGCTCATTACGAGTTAAGTTTTGCATATAGAAACATAGTAGGCCGCGCGGATCGAACGTCTGTACTGAATCTTAACCTCACTCTTTAGTAAACTTAAATTCAAAGTTTCACAACAATACATGCAGAGTTCTCACTACAGTGAATTTTTAAGTGTCACCAAGTCATTAGAAAAATGGAACTCAACCGAGAACATTTTCGCGCCATAATTTATTACAACTTTCAGAGACAGTTATCGCAACAAGAACGCCTTGCTGAGTTACTGTCTGTTTTCGACAACGAAGCGCCACATCAGTCGACAATTTCCCGTTGGTATGGAGAATTCAAACGTGGACCGGTGAGTCTTAGCGACGATCTCAGGGTGGGTGCACCAAAAACGGCAATCACCCAGGAAAACGTCGATGCTGTGCGCAAACTCATCATTGAAGATAGACATGTGACATATCGCGAGATTGAGGCGTCCTTGAAAATCTCAAAGACCTCAATTCAAAAAATTTTACATGAAGAATTAGGAGTAAGAAAATTAGTTTCTCATTGGATACCCCACCTGTTGACTGAAGAACAGAAAGCAGCCAGGGTTAATTGGTGTCAAAAAACGCTCGACCGTTTCAACTCCGGAAACTCAAAAAATGTGTACAGCATTGTTAGTGGTGATGAATCGTGGATTTACTGTTATGAACCAGAAAATAAACGACAGTCGGCTGTTTGGGTGTTCCAAGGTGAAGAAAAGCCAACAAAAGCCATCCGTTCTCAAAGTGTTTCGAAAAAGATGGTCGCGACATTTGTGTCAAGAGCGGGTAATATTGCAACAATTACTCTTAATGAGCAAAGAACTGTTACTGCGGATTGATATACCACCATTTGTTTGCCAAAAGTCATCACCGAGCTTCGAAAAATCAACCCCGAAAGAAGAATCATCCTCCACCAAGACAATGCAAGCTCGCACACAGCCCAAAAAACAAGGCAGTATTTAACGGAAGAAAACGTGGGATTGTTGGACCATCCTCCATATAGTCCCGATCTAAGTCCTAACGATTTCTTTACTCTCCTGAAAATTAAAAACAGACTGCGTGGTCAAAGGTTCCAGTCACCAGAAGAAGCAGTTGACGTATTCAAAAATGTCGTTTTGGATCTACCAGCAAACGAGTGGAATAAGCGCATAAGTCATTTAAAACTACCTACCGTGTTGTTTTATTTCCATATGCAAAACTTGAAAGACATCCATCGTACACTTTCAATATGTAAAAATGTTCTTTATTTGTAGATTGCAAATGGAAATGCTCGATATCCCAGTAGAGCAAATGCTTAAAAACGGCGATTACTCAAAGACCGTGCACAGTCAGATCAGGGTAGACAGGGTATACAAAGCGTAGGGGAGATAATTGATAGTTTTAATAAAGTCGACACATATTTTGGGGATCCCCAGAGAAAAAATCCAGTAGAGTGGGATCTGGGCTCCGGGGAGGCCACGGAATGTCCTCTCGTCGTGGTATCAGTTTTCCACTAAACACTCGAAATAGGGTCTGGTGATTCTTTCAGCCGACATGGCCGCCCAAACTGTAACATAACTCGAATGTTGGTGTTTTAATTTGGGATTTTCTGCGGACCAATACCGGTAATCTTGCTCGTTCAAAATTCACTCAAATGAAAATGAGCTTCGTCATAAAACAGAAAATTGTTCAAACTTGGAAAGCGCTCAAACATTGCACGGTGTAGATGGTGATCCTCGATTTCAATTCCTGCACTAGTCGAAGTTTATATGTGTGGATCGCGCTGTACGGACTTCGCAACCTCGCTTACAGTTTCCTCCGTTCGTATTGACCTTGGACGCTCCCGCAACTTTCTGATTCAGTGTCGAACTAGTAGACTCGAACTTTCTGGCCCACGACCTGACCACACTTTCACTGGGACATTTGTGTAATAAGCCCTAACTCAGACCGCACGCTGCTCACCGATGTAACGCTCCATGGCAACTAAATTTCCGAGCACCAAGCTACTATCCCGCTACCGCGTGCCTGTCACAAGCAATGCGGTTTTGAACTTCGTACGTCTTTCTGGTCCTCCCTGTATATGATTTTTCTCATTGGAAATGCCAACCCCCCTTTATCTACTAATGTCCGATTATGCCTATTATAAGACAATAGTAGCAACTCATTGTCGGAATTCCTATAGGCGACAAACATATATCAATGTAAAGGGTTTTATTAAAGTACCGGACGGTGGTATAAACATAAGTCCAGTATGTTTTTATGAGAAAACGATTAAAACTTCATAAATTATGTTTTCATTTGGAAAGATTGTGATACCTCGTAAATCGTGCTGAGCTAATATCAATCAAGAAAAACGCATCACTGAAATCACAAATACTCATGGCTGTTTATATCGCTGTATTTAAATCGTTTAAGATTTCTTCAACGTAATTCAAACCGCGGCATTTTATCTAGTTCAACAAATTTGGGCAAAAATAGCCTGACGAATTGCAGAGATTTCTATGAAATTTCAAAAATAGTGTGGCACTATGTATCTTGAATCTTTAAGTTTGGCCAGGTACTTTGCTAACTTCCAGTAATTCATTACCTCCTTATTTCAGCGTAACATCCTTATCAAGATATTTTGTGCAGTACATGCATCATGCAATAAATGAACGGCATTGTTGAATTTCATTATTGAAATAAGCAATAAAACTCGTATTTTCTTTCATGCTGGTACCACGTTAAATGTAGCTGTAAACATATCGCACGAACACGTATTTAAATGACCAACCTACTTAAACGCAATGTAATTACCTTGTTAAAAATATATAATCTTGTGATATCAAAGCTTTAAAAGTTCTGATGCAACCAGCATGGTACTCAGTGCATCTTTGTTACAAAAAAGTTCATGTTCGTCAAGAGTAAGCGCCTCTAAAAAAGAATCACGACGAAATATACATCAAAAAAATAGATCACGTCAATCAAACGAGTCCTTACACCTTTGATAACATTGCGATATTTAAATTTCCCCCTGAAAGCGCCAAGGGGAAATGTGCGGGAAAATCTATGATGGAATCCAATCGCCCCGCCATGCTTTTCTTGGCGGAGACAAAAATCTCTAAGTCTGCACCGATTAAACATCTTAGTTTTCCCAATTACGACGTGCACTCAAATCTGAGAAAGAACACGGGAGTTGTGGCCTTTGTTCGCAGCAGTGTTTTCTGCTCCAGCGATGTTTCTCTGAAATCAGACCGGACATTCTGTGGCTTAGCCTCAACTCCAAAACATCCGCCAAATTTATTAGCTGCCTTTATCGCTCTCCCTCGGACCATAACTGGGATGACTTATTTGGATACCTCAAGATCGACTTCTTGAACATCAATTACCCCGATTCAGAGGTAGTCCTTCTGGTTGAGTTCAATGCCCATAATGAGTTTTGGTTCGGCGTAAAAAGACCGATGCAGCAGGTCGTGCAGTTGAAGCGTTCGCTCTTACTCAAGGACTGACCCAGCTGGTGACGAGCCCTAGTTTTCCCCGCGTCTCGTCACATGCCGTAGCCTGCTGGATCTCTTTCTGGCCACGCATCCTGTCCCTTACAGCACTGCTATCCTGTATCCCCTGGGTAACTCAGACCACGGTGTTGTGGAGGTTAGGTTTCGGTCAGAACCCGCTGTGGCAGCAGAAACCCGCACAGGCCGCTAAATTTGGTATTACAGACATGCCGATTGGGAGGGCTCAGAGACTTCTTCTCTACCGTTCCTTGAAGAGATATCTGTTTTACTGACGCGGATGTGTCGGTTGTCTGTTCTTCGATAGCCGAAATTATCCACGTCGGAATGGAGGAATACATCCCTCATACAGTAAAAGTGCCTAAACCAGGTTCCTACGGCTGGTTTAACAAATCGTGTGACACTGCTCGCCAGCAGAATATCAAGGCACACAGAATCTTCTTACAAAACCCCACTGTAGAGAACAGACAAGCCAACGTCGTGTCCAGAAATAAATATAACGAAGCGGTTGGCAATGCCAAAAACCAGCACGATATAAAAGTTAGGCACATGGTAATGTTGCAGTGCAATGGCAGTCGGTCTTTCTGGACGCTGGCCAAGCATTTTGAAAAGAATACACGGTAGCCTTTAACCACTTACGTGTCAAGATGTAACGATTGTATCCGACCCAAAGCCAAGGCAGAAGTGCTTGCCAAGATCTTTGCTGCCAACTCCATCATGGACGTCCCCCCCAACGCCTAAGTGCCGTCAATGCAAAGGGTTCCCTACACTATGCGACCGACCCTTACAACTACAGACAGCTCTGCCTTC